AGAGAGAGAGAGAGAGATAGAGAGAGAGAGAGACAGAGAGGAGAGACAGAGACAGACAGAAACTGACAACCAGTCTCGCTTGGATAAATCTTCTTTGTGGAATTTCCATTGCCATTCAACCAGTATATATCTAACGAGATACAGATGGCTAACAATAACAGCTTAAAATACCAACAATTTTATGGTTATTCGCTAGACGATCACAGGATCGCATCCAGTCTTCTCCTTACGCTGCTTAAACTCTCAACGTTTATACAAAGTTCATTAACAAGTGAAACAACCTCATATAAGGCATTATTTATAATTACTTTTGTGTGATAATATGTAAGTAAATGCGCTGTGACGATCGTAATTTTTCACGGGATCTGCTGAGTCATTATATATTCTCTTATGAAACTTTAATTTACACCTTTTCGTGTGAAAATAAACGTAGAATAAACGATCTGAATTCTTCATTCTGGAGGCTGACTGTCAACTCTGTGATGTAAACAAACGTGAAATACTTCAAGAGTCAGAGAGAGAGAAAGACCCGGGGGTTGATATCACGCCAGACCTGTCCCCTGAAACTCATATCAAGAGGATAACATCAGCGGCATATGCCAGGTTGGCTAACATAAGAACGGCCTTTAGAAACTTGTGTAAGGAATCATTCAGAACGTTGTATACCACATATGTCAGACCAATCCTGGAGTGTGCGGCTCCAGCATGGAGCCCATATCTAGTCAAGCACAAGACTAAACTTGAAAAGGTTCAAAGGTTTGCCACCAGACTAGTACCCGAGCTGAGAGGTATGAGATTCGAGGAGTGACTACGGGAATTAAACCTCACGTCACTTGGAGACACAAGAGTTAGGGGGGACATGATCACCACATTCAAGATTCTCAAAGGAAATGATAGGTTAGATAAAGACAGACTATTTACCACAAGGGGACACGCACTAGGGGGACACAGGTAGAAACTGAGTGCCCAAATGAGCCATAGAGACATTAAAAACAATTTTTAAGTGTCAGAGTAGTAGATAAATGGAATGCATTAGGCAGTGATGTGGTGGAGGCTGACCCCATACACAGTTTCAAGTGTAGATATGATAGAGCCCAATAGGCTCAGGAACCTGTACACCAGTTGAGAGGCGGGAAGAAAGAGCCAGAGCTCAACCCCCGCGAGCACAAGCAGGGCTGTACCCTACTGACCCAGGAACACCTTCAACTGAGGTCAGAGGTCAAGAACAGAGGACAGGAACTGAGGTCAGAGGTCAGGAACTGAGGTCAGAGGTCAGGAACTGAGGACAGAGGACGGGAACTGAGGTCAGAGGTCAGGAACTGAGGTCAGAGGTCAGGAACTGAGGACAGAGGACGGGAACTGAGGTCAGAGGTCAGAGGTCAGGAACTGAGATCAGAGGTCAGGAACTGAGATCAGAGGCCAGGAACTGAGGTCAGAGGTCAGGAACTGAGGTCAGAGATCAGGAACTGAGATCAGAGGTCAGGAACTGAGATCAGAGGTCATGAACTGAGATCAGAGGTCACTGAACTGAGATCAGAGGTCAGGAACTGAGATCAGAGGTCAGGAACTGAGATCAGAGGTCAGGAACTGAGATCAGAGTCAGAGGTCAGTCAGGAACTGAGATCAGAGGTCAGGAACTGAGATCAGAGGTCATGAACTGAAATCAGAGGTCAGGAACTGAGATCAGAGGTCAGGAACTGAGATCAGAGGTCATGAACTGAGATCAGAGGTCAGGAACTGAGATCAGAGGTCAGGAACTGAGATCAGAGGTCAGGAACTGAGATCAGAGGTCAGGAACTGAGATCAGAGGTCAGGAACTGAGATCAGAGGCCAGGAACTGAGGTCAGAGGTCAGGAACTGAGGTCAGAGGTCAGGAACTGAGGTCAGAGATCAGGAACTGAGATCAGAGGTCAGGAACTGAGATCAGAGGTCAGGAACTGAGATCAGAGGTCAGGAACTGAGATCAGAGGTCAGGTACACACTCAAGGCCACGGCACATAAGGACAAAAATTGTGAAATGGAAAAACTTTATAGCAATGGTTGTTATATATTTCCTTTGGCACACAAAAGGATTTTTATTTTTAAGGGAGAAGAGAGAGAGAGAGAGAGAGAGAGAGAGAGAGAGAGAGAGAGAGAGAGAGAGAGAGAGAGAGAGAGAGAGAGAGAGAGAGAGAGAGGGAGGAGAGAGAGAGAGGGAGGAGAGAGAGAGAGGGAGGAGAGAGAGAGAGAGAGAGAGAGAGAGAGAGAGAGAGAGAGAGAGAGAGAGGAGAGAGAGAGAGAGAGGAGGGAGGAGAGAGAGAGAGAGGAGAGAGAGAGAGAGAGAGAGAGAGAGAGAGAGAGAGAGAGAGAGAGAGAGAGAGAGAGAGAGAGAGAGAGAGAGAGAGAGAGCGGAGAGAGAGAGCGAGAGAGAGAGAGAGAGAGAGAGAGAGAGAGAGAGAGAGAGAGAGAGAGAGAGAGAGAGAGAGAGAGAGAGAGAGAGAGAGAGAAGAATTATGAATATGATAAGAATGTTGTGATAAGAATTATTTTAACCAACAACCATTCCCCTTACTTTCCTTTCCCTTATTTTCTCTTCCCTTACTCTCACCTGACCACCCCTTCCCTCCTGCGTCTCCTCACCCCCCCCCCATCCCTTCCTTCCCTCCCCTCCCTAATTTTTACATTTAGGGAGAATATTATAAGAATATTTTCGAGAATATTGTGATTCTCAATATTTGACCTCAGATGTTGTGCTTCCAATTTACCCTCAAGTGACATGTTCTGTCTTAGCCCCCAAGTGACGTGTTCTGTCTTAGCCCCCAAGTGACGTGTTCTGTCTTAGCCCCCAAGTGACGTGTTCTGTCTTAGCCCCCAAGTGACGTGTTCTGTTTTAGCCCTCAAGTGACATGTTCTGTCTTAACCCTCAAATGACATGTTCTGTCTTAGCCCTCAAGTAACATGTTCTGTCATAGCCCTCAAGTGACGTGTTCTGTCTTAGCCCTCAAGTGACGTGTTCTGTCTTAGCCCTCAAGTGACGTGTTCTGTCTTAGCCCTCAAGTGACGTGTTCTGTCTTAGCCCTCAAGTGACATGTTCTGTCATAGCCCTCAAGTGACGTGTTCTGTCTTAGCCCTCAAGTGACGTGTTCTGTCTTAGCCCTCAAGTGACGTGTTCTGTCTTAGCCCTCAAGTGACGTGTTCTGTTTTAGCCCTCAAGTGACATGTTCTGTCATAGCCCTCAAGTGACGTGTTCCTTCTTAGCCCTCAAGTGACATTTTCTGTCTTAGCCCTCAAGTGACGTGTTCTGTCATAGCCCTCAAGTGACGTGTTCTGTCTTAGCCCTCAAGTGACGTGTTCTGTCTTAGCCCTCAAGTGACGTGTTCTGTCCTAGCCCTCAAGTGACATGTCCTGTCTAAGCCCTCAAGTGATATGTTCTGTCTTAACTCTCAAGTGACATGTCCTGTCGCAATCACACATGTACATGTTCTAGCGTCACACACACACACACACACACACAACACAAGAGGGCCGAGTACCTAAGCAACAGAAGACAGCGAGTCACTGTGAGGGGTGAGGCCTCAAATTGGCGAGACGTCACCAGTGGAGTCCCGCAGGGGTCAGTCCTTGGACCTATACTGTTTCTGATACATGTAAATGATATCCCAGTGGGAATAGACTCGTTCCTCTCAATGTTTGCTGGTGATGAAAAAATTATGAGGATGATTAAGACAGAAGAAGACAGTATGAGGTTACAAGATGATCTATACAAACTGAAGGAATGGTCCAACAAATGGCTACTAAAGTTCAATCCAAGTAAATGTAAGGTAATGAGGTGGAGGGAAAAGGAGGCCAGATACTGAATACCTAATAGGAGACAAAGTCCTTCACGAAACGGACAGAGAGAAAGATCTAGGAGTTGATATTACGCCGAACCTGTCCCTTAAATCCCACATCAGAATCAATACCATTATCGGCGTATGCAAGGCTGGCTAATATCAGCACTGCCTTCAGGAACCTGTGTCAGGAATTACTGAGAACCTTGTATACCATATGTAAGACCAATTCTGGAGTATGCAGCTTCAGCATGGAGTCCATACCTTGTCAAGCACACGACGAAGCTGGAGAATGTTCAGGGGTATGCCACTAGGCTAATCCCAGAACTAAGAGGCATGAGTTATGAGGAAACGCTGCGTGAATTTCACCTCACGTCGCTGGAAGATAGAAGAGCTCGGGGAGACATGATCACCACATATAAAATTATCAGGGGAATTGACAGGGTAGATAAGGACGGATAATTAAACACGGGTGGGACACGAACAAGGGGACACAGGTGGAAACTGAGTACCCAAATGAGCCACAGGGACGTTAGAAAGAACTTTTTCAGTGTCAGAGTAGTTAACGGATGGAATGCATTAGAAGTGATGTGGTGGAGGCCGACTCCATACACAGTTTCAAATGTAGATATGATAGAGCCCAGTAGGCTCAGGAATCTGTACACCAGTTGATTGACAGTTGAGATGCGGGACCAAAGAGCCAGAGCTCAACCATGTACGTGTTTCAGCGACATCTCACACACACACACACACACACACACACACACGAATAAATATATTTCTGTTTATTTTGTCATTCTGTTATAAAAGTTTTTATATTAATTTTATATATAGCTAAACTGCTCGTTTTGTGTGTTTTATTGCATGTAAAGCAGCAGTCAGATTCACGAAAGCACTTACGCAAGCACTTACGAACCTGTACATCTTTCCTCAATCTTTGACGGCTTTGGTTACATTTATTAAACAGTTTACAAGCATGAAAAC